ACCATACCTGGATACCTCGATCGCCAAGCGGTTCAAAGCCTCTTGGACTACCTGTGTGTTGTCACCCAGCAAGGCGATGTTATCGGCATATTCCAATTCAGGAATTCTATTCCCTGGGAGGAGTTCAACTCCACAGTTTGCTGGACTGGACAAAGCATTCTGTAGAACATCCTCTATGTCAAAGTTGAAAAGGAATGGGGATATAGGGCAGGCTTGCCGAACTCCACTGGAGACTGCGAAGGGTGGCGAAAGCTGGCCATAGGCCCTAACCCGACCTGAGGTATGACCATACAACTCTTTGAGGATCGACACATACTTCTCAGGTACTCCATTCTTCAACAAACAGTTCCATAATGTGATCCTATCGACAGAGTCGAAGGCCGCGCAAATGTCTAAGAATACAATGACCGTTGATCTTTGGTAGGCATGACGGTGCTCTAGCAGCTGTCAGAGGGTGAAGATTTGATCGATGCATCTACGACCAGCGCGAAACCCAGCCTGCTCCTCACGCGTAGTGTACAATCGGCGGTGAATGACGGACGCCAATAGCTTCGACGCTATCGGCATTAGGTTTATACCTCTGTGATTGGCACAGTCATTACGCGGGCCCTTTTTGAAGATGGTGACAACAATCGATTCCCCCCACGAGGAGGGGACTTGCTCAGTGTTCCACTCTTTGGAGAACGGACATGGAGTTCTCTAACAAGCTTTATTCCACCATCTTTAAATAGAGCAGGGGAAGGCCATCGGAGCCCGGTGCTTTGTGACGTTCCAAGACTTGGATCTCCTTACTGATTTCCGCCTCAGAAGGTGGGTCTGTTGTGACAGACCATGGGGCGTGTGCCGGAATAACTGTGAGGAGCTGACGCTAGTGGCCAGCTAAACTGTGCTTTGAAGTGCTCCTCCCAGCGTTCAAGACATCTCTGTTGATTGTGAATGGACGAACCGTCAGCTTCGCGGATTGTTTCGCCCACACCTGAGGCTTTCCAACCGGTGACCCGGATGAGATGAACCAGCTTACGGAAATTTCCCATGGCGGCAACACGTTCCATGTCTGACGCGCGTTTAGTCCACCAGATCTCGCAGATCTCTCTCTCTCTGTGTAGGCTTACATTGAGATTTCGACTCGTTGCTCGTCGTGTTTCATTATGCTTGCTGCCGGTTGGGATTGATCGGCGTTCTTCGAGAAGCCGTAGAGATTCCGCAGAAATCCAAGGNGTCACGGCGCGACGTGTCAGGTCACAACTAACTAAGCCAGCAGAATGTAGAGCACTCTTGATAAGCGACCAGTGCTGGTTAACGTCATCAAGTGGGGTTGATTCTAGCTTTTCTGATAGCGCGTTCTGAAAGATAGTTGGGCATGCTGGTTTAGACAACTGACCATAGTCTATCGGTCGATGTGTCAAGCGATACATTACTGTCGCATCTGCCTCACTAAATGGTTGAATTTCTTTCGTATGGAAGAAATATATATACATTGTTCTCATTCCACTTATTCTTCTTATTACACACTTTCCTATTATAAAATGCAGGCGGACCAAACGTCATGTTTCTGGGTCCTGCTGTTTTGTTAGAGAAACCGGTAACCTAAACCCCTCTGCTTTGAGTTGTGAACCACATACAGCCCCGCTAGGTTGGGCATAGTCTTGAGATGGATGACTGCCAAGGTGCCTAATAGTTTTTTTATTCGGTCCAGTATAAGGACCGTGGTCACTGTGACTTTTTTGAATTTTTTTTACCCTCAGCAGTTTATTGACAAGTGGTCGGTTGGTCGCCCACGTATTACGCAGAAAACCCTTCAGTTATACGACACAAGCAAACGCTAATTTGAACCAATCAAAATGCGGTAGTTGTGTGCGATCTCAAAGCGGCACATTATACTAGGTGCGAAAGCACTCTGTACGACGTATCCTGTGTGGACGATGAGATGAGACAGTCAGTTTCATTTTATGCCAACCGATTAGTAACTGAAGCAAGTCTTTCCCGAGATTAATTTCAATAGAAAAGACCATATCGTAATACTTCACGATTTATATCTAGGACGGTTTTGCTGCATCTCAACATAATGCAAACTGCAGAAGGTGCAAAGTTTATACTGAACTTGAACATGATAGCAAAGTAAAGTATAATGCACTAAAACAGACAAAACATAAAGGGAGAAGGGGTAAAAAGTAGCATGTTACCGAGGTGAAAGCAGGCTAATATAAATTTTTTGTTGACACGGCTCCCATTGGTAGCGTTATTCTCAGCAAACCTCGGCAGTCCTGCGACTCGTAACTTGTAGACAGCCCGGAACGCCCTGCTTCAGTGAATCTGATGTCGCGTCATCAGCAGATATCGAGCAATGGCTGAGGATGGGATCTTGTAGTTTTGACCATCGTTTCTATGCCGTGGATTTGACCGTGATGGCGTCATCAGATTGGTAACTGTTTTCGAAGTGAAGATGGTTTGTAAGTGTAGGTTTGTAGGATATCTTGATGTTGTGATTCAAAAGGATAAGCTTGACTTTCATCCAATCATGAGTGGTACATTAAGTGAATCTTCTAATATGTGGTCAAGGTTACCATGAGGTTCACATGCGTTTGAGCCATGCTATTTCGAAAGAGGCATTTTTTATTCTTATTTTTACTGGAGATGTAAACGTATCTGCTATTCGTTATCCGAAAAATGCGCGCTTTGTTTATTCTTCATGCATACCTCACGCGCATTTCAGTTCTCATGTTGTCTCCTCAAACACTGTGTTTATTCATTCATGCCAATGTATATTCTGGAATAGATGATATTGAGCAAAAAGAAACTATACTAATGAAAGATCGGTAGTGTCCTCTTAATTACATCTAAGTTGTACATGCAACTAACCGGAGGAGAATATGGTTCTGTACTCCGTCTTTTATTTCCTCAGCGTTTTGTTTATTGTCATATATGTTTCTGTTCTTACCCCTCCCACTATCTCCGCAGACGTGTCTACGTTATTATGAACATGAATTCATAGAATTGGCTCGTCAGTCTCCTGCAGTCGTGGTCTGTCGCTGCTCGCCAACACAGAAGACCCAAATCGTCCGACTAGTGCGACATCATACCGGGGCTCGGGTGGCTGCAATCGGTGACGGAGGGAACGATGTGGGCATGATCCAGGCGGCCGATGTTGGTTTCGGTCTCGTTGGCAAAGAGGGTCGACAGGCCAGTTTGGCCTCGGACTTTAGTCTGTATCAATTCCGTCATGTAGCTCGATTGCTGCTGGTACATGGTCGAAATTGTTACAAAAATACGGCCGTCTTGGCCCTGTTCGTCATTCATCGAGGTTTGTGATAGACCTCGGTTTATATCTGTATCAAACTTGAACGATTCTCATGGGAGTTGTTTTCGCAACTCTCGTTTTTCCTCGTCGACGACTTCGCTCATTTCGCTCTTCTCTTTTGTTTGCGAATGCGAACACATTAGGCCCGTTTTGATTTGTTCGTTATCGCTTATTTATTCCTCAACAACACGATACAAGTTTCTTGAAACAGTCGGTTGAGGAATATCACCCGGGGTGAAGCATCTTAAACTCAACTATACCAACAATCACCCAATACAATGTTTTACCAGTGTGAAGTATATGTAAGTGTTTTTTAACGCATAACTTCTCATGGTTCGTTCACGCCCGCGAAGCTTTGTTCAAAGTTGGAAGACTATCGTTTTTCTCCCTTAATTTGAAAACTGTTTACCACGAGTTAACCCTCAGGTTTACCAATGTTTGCGTCAATCCCTGATAGTTATGTGCTTCACTAAATATTTCTCGGTGCCTTGGAAGTTGAAAGAGAATTCCTATAGTGATCCTTTTAGATATTATAGTTACCAGACACATTTTTGTGGCTAACAGATTTGCATCTTCCAAATATATTTGACATTCTTTGCATATTAAACTGCGTATGGTCATGTCTGTATTCGCCAAGCGACCTTGTTTTAAAATGTTTTTATCCCCACACTTGGTATCGCGACTCTGTACTTGCTTACTCATTATCTCTGTTAATCGATCCTAAAGTAACCAATGAAAATCGTGCATGTTTACTTTGTTCATTAGTTTCACATTGCATGATTTTTATTTTTATACCTAATTTTTTATTCGTCTTTCTGCGTTAATGACAATGTCTTGAGCTGAAAATTCACTCAACATACGTGCATAACCCGGATATTAACTTGACTTGATCTGAATCGTCCCAAGCTCATAGTAGGAAGCTTTCGGGAGCTTTCCCGAAGATCTTATCGCTAATTAGGTTCGATTGCCGTATGGGTTCTGCGTTTTCGCTTGTTTTTCTGTGGCGAGCAAAGCCCGGTCATTTTTGAACCTCTCATTTGTATTGTGCGTCTTTTGTTCAGACAACCGTTTATTGTCCTACGCCCGCCATTCTTTGTTTGGTTCTTTCTTTTATCAGGTTCCATCATCAGTGTGATGCAAGCCGTGTTCTCTGCCGTGTTCTACTTCGTCTCGGTCTCACTGTTTCCCGGTTTTCTCCTTGTCGGCTATTGTACCGTGTTCACCATGTTTCCCGTGTTCTCGCTTGTCCTGGACAAGGATGTCCCCGACCGAATCGCAATCACCTATCCGGAGTTGTACAAGACCTTACAGAAAGGGCGTGAGATCACCTTCAAGACGTTTTTCGTGTGGTTACTGATCAGTATCTATCAAGGTAAAAGATTTGAGTTTGATGCGCTTGTTGTTGTTAGCATTCGTCTTCATCTATTAGTTTCTCAATACAAGGTATCTCAAAATGGGGTTTTACAAAGCACAATTCACAATAAGGTGCTCTCGTCTGGCTGGGCGATTTCGATATATCATGAGTTAGTTCAGTTCCGTTTGTACAACCGTTAACGATGCACTTTCGTGCGCCGGTTTTGGCAACTGTCTTTAGGTTACCTATCCGGATAAAACAGTAGAATTAAGATTGATATATTGAGAGCAAATTCAAGCGAAAGATAGCGAATTCATATAGACTGAAGTTACGAGAATAATGAGTGGATGCATTCGCGCCACCGTTTGCGATATCCAGCCGTATCGCTCATTGTCTCTAACCATTGGTGACCATCATCTCGGGGTCCCCAGCCAGGGAGCCTTAATGACCTAGTCTCCTGGTTAGGGTTTTCATATCCTCATACCAGGTTTTAGTTTGACCTCCCTTGTTCTTTTTCCACTCGGTATCTGTTTCGGCGAACATCGTTCGCCGTGGTAACCTATCTGGTGACATACGTAGCACATGTCCCAACTAGCGTAATTTATGAAGGTCGACCACTTGCCCCAGCGGACGACCACGATTACCTAAAACTTTACGCCTGACCTCAGTATTGCTCGCCCGATTACCCTGCCAGACTCGTACAAGGCGACATAGACAGTGGTGTTCGAACAGCGGCAATCTATTTTTATCATGCTCCCGTAGTAGCCAAGTCTCTGCACCGTAGAGCAGCCATGGCCGAACTGCTGCAGTATGTACTCGGCCCTTCACAGACAGCCGGATGTCGCGACGGCTCCACAAATGGGTCAGAAGCTCAATATACCAACCAAATCGATGTACATCAACTCAAGTCAAGCATGAGTCCAGTTCAGTCGATACAACCATTAACCATGCACTTTCATGCGCAGGCGTTGGTCGCTATCTTTTGGCTGCATATATGAATGATCAGTGTGAGAGAAAGACAGGAAAGTTGAAAGTAGAGTTGAACGGAGAATTTCATTGGACCAGTGTTGCAAATAAATTGAGAAGAAACAGGAACGCATAGACTTCATTCGACCATTGTGGGGCAATTTTCAGTGAAAAAATATTCTCGCGTTAGATTTTGAATTTATGACCGTAGTAAAAGAATACACGGTTATGGAACTTCTGCATAAAGCGGAAGATCCAAAGTAACTTTATGTGCATTGAGATGACTAGTACGATTGCATAAGGTTTAGTTTCAATCCACTGAATACTTTTCCCTCACAAACGAAATCAAACGCGAAAGATAGGGCACACCGGAGTCACGGGAAGCTGCGGCACTAGTACATAAAGGGGTTATACTTATTACCGGCAACAGAGGTGGGTGTATACGGAGCGGGATGGTTGGTTGTCAAGTGTCAAAAGGGGAATGTAGGTGCACAGAAGATCACAAGCTTCAGTATTTTGATTGAATGTTAATTTGGCAAGTGCTGTAAACACAATACGTTTAGTGAAAAATCATTTAAATCTTTTTACAACAACCCGGGGGGGGAGATAAAAGGAGAATAGAGAGAGTCCAGTGACAACAAACAAAAAGCTGGATGAATTCAAAAAAAGACGTATTCAACGGCATCCTCAGATCTTTTGAATTCAACTATCTCGTTTGCTGTGTATATACATTCAGATCGTGTTTAGTCTAAAAAGTGGCAGGTTTGCGAACAACCGAACAGGCGCAGGCAAGCGAATTGAATACCGAGGACGAAGGTCACAACCACTCGAACCGGATTGGTACAAGGTCAGGGAGCGTAATCATTGCTGCGGGGGGGGGCAGTCACATCTACTAAAGCAACGAGAGGCTCATCACGAAGTCGATCTGATGATTACAGACGTCTGGTTCCTAAGGTCGAATAGAAACTGCCGGAACGGACTTTGGTTAGCAGTTAGACTTCGGACAATTTATGACAAAGTTAAAAAGTTGCGTATACCGCGCCAATGTACGGTCATTTCTGCTCTACTGTTGTGAGACCTTGAATTTGCGGATAGATGACATCCCTAGCGTAGTGGTTTTTCGACAATCGATGCTCACGTATTCTGGCTTAAGTTGGATGGAGTGAGCGGGTTATTAGCTTAGAAGTAAGGCGTCGGGTGTTTGGGAATGCATCGAAATCAGCTCCATGTGCTCCGGTGGTTAGGACACGTTTTGAGTATATCCGACGGTCGCCTATCACAGAGCGCCTTATTGGCAGTGGCTGTTGCAGGCTGGAGGAAGCCAGCTGGAGTCCAGTAGATGAAAAGGCATAAGCCCTCCGGCCCAGACGGGCTATCCCCATCCGTTTTTAAGAATGGGAGCTCAGCCTTATTCTCGGAGTTAACAAAGCTTCTGGGCTCCCTGTGGGAGACATAACAGGTTCCAACTGAATGGTGTGAATCGGTCATCATACCAATTTACAAGAAAAGTGACAGCACCTCTTATGAAAACCACAGAGGAATTAGTTTAATCAACATCGTCTCTAAACTTCTCGCTGAAATCACAATCCGTCGATTGTCTGCCGCACGTGAACGTTGCACGCGTGAGAACCGGGCTGGCTTTAGACCTGGTCGAGGTGGTGTCAACCACATCGTCACCCTTCGCCAGACTCTGGAGCACCGACACTTTTTTGCCTAGACCCACCATCTCTGTCTTCCTGGATCTCAGAGCGACTTTCGACTCAGTCGACCGCTCTGAACTCTGGCGCTGCCTTTTTCTGAACGGTGTGCCCGAGAAGTTAATTTCAGTATTACAATCCTTTTATACTAATAACCGACGTCGAGTCTAAGCTTACGACACTTTTTCTCCCGAGTTCACCACGGAAAGTAGTGTTCATTAGGGTTGCCCTCTCTCTCCTTTTCTATTTAACTATGTTATAGTTCTGATTATGGAAACAGTCCTATCCTCGTGCGAGTATAGTGGCATCGATCTATTCCCAGGTGACAGACTGTCTGATCTAGAGTATGCAGACGATATTGTGCTACTAAGTGACGATCCAGGTAAGTTACAGGCTTTACTGGAAAGTTTGAGTGCTAGTGTAGCCATGTTTGGCATGCGTTTTGCACCTTCAAAGTGTAAAATGTTGCTACAAGACTGGGCTGGTCCAGCACCCAGCCTTACTCTAACTGGGGAAGTAATAAAGCAGGTGGATAAGTTTTGTTATTTGGGCAGCTACATCTCACCCGGTGGACGCATCACGGATGAAGCGTCAGCTCGCATACAGAAGGCTCGGTTGTCATTTACCAACTTGACACATCNTCTGTGGAGCCATTACGACATCCAGCTGTCTGTGAAGGGTCGAGTGTATGCTGCAGCAGTCCGACCATTTATACTATACGGTCATTAAGAAAATAGGATAACGATAGACTGTCGGTGTTCGAACACCGCTGTCTACGCAGCATTGCACGAAGTTGGTGGGACAGCCAGACGAGCAATGCTGAGGTTAAGCGTAGAATTTTAGGCAGTCGCCGTCGTGTACTAAACCAAGTGATCGACCTCCATAGATTACGTTTGTTGGGACATGTGTTAGGCACGTCACTAGATAGGTTTCCAAGGCGAGCGATGTTTGCCGAGGCATTTAGTGGGTGGAAGAAGTTCAAGGGTGGTCGAGCTAAGACCTGGCATGAGGGTATGAAAACCCTAACCAGGAGTCTGTGTCACATAAGTCCTGTTAGGCTCCCTGGTTGGGGACCTCAGGATGGTTGTAACTGATGATTAAAGACACTGAGTGATATAGCTGCGTGTCGCAAACNGCAAACAGTGGCGTTCGTGCATCTTCTCGATTTCTCTGCATTATTAGTCCAATGAACTTCTCAATTTTCTCTTCGATTCTACTTTCAACTTTCCTGTTTTCCTCCTATTATTCACCCAAATGGGCAGCCAAAAGACAGCAACCAAAACTGGCGTACGATAGTGCATAGTTAATGGTTGTACAAACAAACTGAAATGACGTGGAGACGAATCATGGAGAAATGCACAGAGCGATTAGGTAGAGTAGGTGTCTCTCGTCTTTCGAGTCGGGGTCCAAAAGACTCCTTAACTGGTTGGTTGGAGACACTGAAGGTCATGGTTGCGAACCAACAGCAATGACGATCTTGCTGTCACTTCTTATTAGTCCAGAATGCTTGAACTAGTATGCATGCACAGTTGGACTGTGTACTCTGTGTTGACCACAGAGGTTCATTTTCTTTTCCCGTCCCTAAAATAAGTCCAATCCCTATCCTCCTTACACATCCTCGCTTACCTTGTATGTATGAGTATGACTTTGGCAGCGATCAGTGAAATTTGCTTTACTGTATTACGCTGTACAATGATGCTGACCATTATGGTGGCGTCACTTAGGTTACAATCTATCAGGTAACAGGCCCATTTCGTAAAATGTAAAAGGGCACATTCCGGACTTTAACGTAAGTTAGTCTTAATTGATACGGCCGTTTGAGATCTGCCAAAATAAAACAATAGGACTTATCACCGAGCATGGTGTCAACGCAAAGCTGAATAAGTCTATTCATTCCTTGATTTATGCGATGATGGATTTGATCGTCTGCTATTCTTTTTCTGTCCACGAACCCCCCCTCCCCGCTTTCTTCGGATCTAGGTGGTGTGATTATGTACGGAGCACTGTTGCTATTCGAGGACGAGTTCATCCACGTCGTATCGATCACATTCACCGCTCTTCTCCTAACCGAGCTGCTTATGGTCGCGATCACCATTCGCACTTGGCATTTGCTCATGATTTTGGCCGAAGTGATCAGTTTGGCAATCTACGCGCTCACACTGGTCATTATGACGGAGTATTTTGGTCAGTTGCCCACACTTCATATCCCAAAATCAGTATCTACCGCTGTTCGCATATGGATTTTTTCACATTCATTATCGAATCACATTGGTAACAGTTACTGCATGATAAGTGTATCCGTTATGGATTTTGTTAACAGTTGCGTTTTCTTTTCTTTTTCTACCCTCGACGGANTAATTAATAAAACGGAATAAAATTCACTATCCAGAATTAAAATGCTTATCAATTTTTAAGGGAGTGGTAGTGTAATCAACTCGATTTGTGACGAATTTCTTCTTTTGATGGAAAAATGTATTAATAACTAAGAGTCCAGGAAGCACTGGGTCGTTTCTTTCTCGTCTAGTTACCTTAGCAGTGCGAATCACCGTAGCTCGGGACCTCTCATGCACACATCTCACTCTTTTGACCACCAGGCAGCTAGCTGATCAGTGTGTCTTACTTTGTCTGCACACCAAATATGTCACAACCCTTCTTCTTTGTAACGTTTTTGTGGGCAACTCCTCTCTCATTTTCGCGCTAACCTGCAGGCTTGTGACTCGATCACTGCCATTTGACTAGTGGATTGGTTATGCTGGATACTTCTATTCTTGTCATTCACCGTCTCGAATGCTAATGTGGTTTGTCTGCGTCGAGCATTCCTGCAAACGGTATCCTGTTGTGGTTTGATATCGCGTTGCCCAGTGTTTTCGTGAAATACTTGAGCGTTGATGTTCACACTTCATCGCAAAACTTTGGTGGGAAGGTCACGTTGGTTTTAGGAAGAGATGTAAGACGTGTTATCATGCGAAAACCTAATGGTGTTTCCTCTCCTATTCCTCATTCAATACACCACACAGTTCATCCTTCTGTGCCACTCTTGAGTCACACTTTGTCTCAAGATTTTGAGATTGAATCGTTGTCTTGTTCGGATTGAAGTCCGTCGGTCTTGTTATCTTGTGACTCGAGGCACTTAGGTCCTATTCATCCGTGACTGACAGTTTTAAGCGACACGATCAACCGCACACTGCAGTGTTCCCTTTACCATGGTCTGACATCTTGTTTGCGTGCCGCTTTTTATGTTTCGTAAACCCTGTGGTACGGTTGTATTAAGCATGCGATAAAACTAAAAAAGGAGGAAAAAATTTCTTTCTATTCTCCATTATCTATTTTTTTCCCCATTTTCTTTTTATCCTCTGTGAAACCTACAATTCATATTAGCATTGACACCAAGCTCGTCATCAAGCCAGTAATATATATATATATATATATATTGACTTTTAGTTTTACTTAATTTGAATAAATAGCCTAGCTCTAGAGTCTCATTCGAGGGATTATAATGAAAATTGGCCATGGCAGTCAAACTATATGCGAGTTGATGGCTCCCATGTACCTCTTTAAGTTGGATGGGTGATTCAAATGTCAAAAGATCATCCGCTATCCGTGTGACCTCGTATCTCGGCTGGTAATATGGCCCCTGCACAATAGCGTAACCGCCATCCGTAAATGGATTCGAATCCCACCGAAACCACTGATCGCAATTCAGAATTAAGCCCGCTACCTTCTGCTACGCGGTCAAATAATATTATTTGAACTTGATAATCGTCTACAACAAAACGGGGATTTTGCTAAAGAGTAACTAACTCATGAACCTTGCCGTGTCTAATGTATTTCTGTTTACGAAGAAACGACCTTGAAGTCTGCGTTCGATGACACCGTGCTACGTACTGTTTAATACCTGCTTCCCTCCATTACAGACCCGAACTTCTTGCGTACGGTTGGATTCGTCTGGAAGGTGCTGGCAATCACGGGAATCAGTTGCATTCCGATCATCATTCTGAAGTTTATTCATTACAAATTCCGTCCTTCTATCTATTCCAAACTTCAATCTCAATGAGCGTCATGACGAAAACCCAGACTTCCACATACAAATTGACTTGTTCTCGAAGTTCCAGTTTTGTTTGGTTCCCCGTCCCGTCCCTCTCCACGCATCGGTCTCCGATTTATTTTCTGAGTCTCTTCCGAAATTGCGTTCATTGGTCTATTGATTGCTTGTCACCACCACATAAACGGTATCTCTGTCATCTGCCACATTCTCCTCTCCTATCCGAGTGCTTTTGATCTGTCCCCCTAATCGTTGTTTCCTTTGTTGATGAGTTTTCTCGTTTTACCGCACTTCAATTATGTGATCATGTTCCACTACAGCCGGTCATTCATACCCTTTTCTCCCTCCGTTTCTTTTCTCTCATTCCATATCCCCACCGAAATTCTGATTTTACGTTGCTGACTACTGATTCGAATTCTTCACCACATCTCATCGCCCTACCACACACGCACGCAGACACACACACATTGAATGTCATCTGCGCTGTGCTGCTGTTGTTTTCGATGACACAGTGCATATGAATGTTCAGTTCTTTCCCGATCTCCACGTGTGCTTCTCGTGTTCTCTGTTTCTTGCATCCGGTTCCTGTTCGACCAGCCCCAAATTGGTTTTAACCACTTTTCCTCATGCAGCCCGTTTAGAGAAATACACATACAGAGAGAAATTATTATGTTAGCTCTTCTTCCCATCCCTCGTTGAGGCTCCGACGCACGACACAGTCTGTCAACTCCTGTTCTTCTCTTTTCCAAACACCACTATTTTCTTCGGTCCCACAAAGTCTGTTGATCGTAAATGCCGGTAATGGAACAGTTGTAACAATAACCCATCTCTACAAAAGGATCACGTGAAATTTTCTTCTCAGATGGTTCCGCAAATAAATGAAACATCCCAGGCATTCCGTTTAAGATTTTACTCATTGTTTTGGCCGAGATACAAAACAGGAGTTCTTTGGTGATTATACCACGATATTCACGTCGGCCTATTTACTTTGTCGAGTTACACACAGGGTAGATTGACTAAAGTAAATTACATTTGCTGTCTGTACCTGGCAAAAAACACTTCGATTTCGGCAGAGCACATGGCATATCACATAAGATGTATCACCCCTTGGATTCGAATACACAGATTACAAAAAGTCAGTTTTATTGTAGGAATAACTTACAAGCTCATGATTATCTTGTCCCCATAGGATATCTACACAGTTGAATCGCTTCACGCCGAAAAACAAGTCACATAGAGCTCCTGGCAGGAATGGGATGTGTATCAAGGTTTCATCCAGTCTCCGCTTGAAAGATTCAATAGTTGGTGCACAAATGATGTGAGATTGAAGGGTGTTCCAAGTAGTACATACTCTGACTGCAAAAGATTGACGCCGGCATTCGAGCAGACACTTTGGAATCAGTAACTTGAAACGGTGTCCCCTAAGGTGTACATTGTTCGATAACATGAGCAGCGGTCGACACGGATGGTTTAGGTTCTGCAGTATTTAATGCGTCAAAATCAAGTCTCCCCGAATTCGGCGATACTGAGCAGAATATAGTCCCAATGATCTTAATCTCTCCTCATAGGTGAGGCAATGCAATCCCTTGACCATCTTGGTGGCCATCCTTTGTGGGCGCTCAAGCATCTTGCGATACCGTTGCAACCATGAACTCCAAGCTTTGATGGCGTAATCTGTGTACGGTCGAATGTACACTGATAGCGAACGTGGGAGCGGTACTGATTCAAACCGACCAAAGACTCACCTAAATAAACCGAGATTCTTCACAGTTGCGAGCGAATCCTTAGCGCAGTTGATCGAGCAGCCTAAATCCTCTTGAACAACAATGCCTAAATCGTTTTCACCCGGAGCATGTGGTAGCTGCTGGTTTCCGAGGAAATACGGGAATCTTCTCTTGTGGTGTAGGGATATGATTTTGCATTTAGAAACGTCACATTCAATGTCGTTCTCCTTAGACCATTGATAAACTGCGTTAAGGGATTCATGAAGTTTTGGAGAGCCCTCGGGTTCTGTTACTGAATTCCAGATTTTGGCGTCGCATGCAAACAGTATTGTTTTTGGACCTAACAGTTTCGATAAATCATTTATGAATGCGAGGAACAGACGGGGACCGAGTACGAACCCTTGGGGAACACCGCGGTTGGCATTAATAGATCCGGATGTGGAATCAGAAACACGAACTGATATGGTCCGTTGTTGGAGGAATGCTCTAACCAATCAAACATGAAATCTCCAATTCCGTACTTATAGAGCTTTTGTAACAAAATTTGGTGATTCACCCGATCAAATGCTTTCAACTCCGAGATAAATCACATCCACCGCATCCCCTCCGTCGACTATTCGGGTCCATTCATTTCGAACAAGAAGCAAGTTGGTGGAGCAGAATCGCTTTTGACTGAACTCATGTTGAGCTGTCGAAAGAAAGTATCTTTCGAGGTGTTCCATCAGAGAATCTGCCGCCATTGATTCCATGATTTTCGATAACACCAGATGCAGGGTTACAGGTCGGTAGTTAGCGGGGTCAATACGACAACCACCTTCGTATATGGGCGAAATAATCCCTTGTTTCCACGAATGTGAGAGTGTTGCTTGTTCGAAAATTCGTTTGAACAGAATGGCTAGCGGTTCGGTGTCTGTATGGGAAATGGTCACTTAGTTTCAGTTGAGTTTATGCATCTTGGAAAACGAAGAACTACACTAATTGAATCCTATCTGGGATATTTAAACGGTGGGAATATTTGGAATTTGCGAATTTGAGGGAGTTCCATGGTACACGTGCTATAACGTTATGCAACTTGTATCGGCTGTTCCATTCGATGCATTATTTTCAATTCAGCATTTACCACCATTTCAGGAAAAATGCCACATAAACCATCGACAGTTTCCAGGCCGATAACCTTGACATGGTTTGGTGCTATAAGGGAAAAGCATGGCGCAGAGCATCGTTTGTAGAAAGGCGATTGAACTACCATAAAAATGGGTCATGGTTACTTCAAGGCTGATTTCGCTCTTGGTCAGAGAGATGCGATCTTCAATCCTATAAAGAGATAAACAGCTACTCCGTTGTGTTATTTTCCAAGTTTTGCCGGGAAAGTTTGACTATCAGTGATGTGATGGACGAGTTTCAAGTTGAGTTACCGCAGTGATCCTTGATCCATTTCGATCATGATATTTCCAGTGCTGAGTAAGCAGCGTTATATTAAAAGCATCTCCACGAAAGAACCATAAATCCCCGACCAAGTTTGCGGCTGTAAGATCAGCCACTAGAATGGGAGTAAAATTCAGTGGATCGATCCGCTCGATGGCACTAACCTAACGGTGCCAACTTGTGAACGATGATCGCACTTGACCTGTAAGCGGGTGTGTGGAGTAAGATGTTGGATCTCCAGTTGATGGATAGCCACTATCGCACTGACGCGCCTGTGTGAATGGGTGAAAGTAATCATAATTGTCTTTACTGGAACACTGACGAAATTGAACAGGTCATTGTAAGAATTGTGATAAATGGTCTAATGTGTCTCTTAGCGTGTTTGGTTGATGCAATGTTATTTCGCGAATCACCTTATATAGCACCATATGTTGAACTTAATTAGTCACCAAGGTCATAAGAAATAACGATGACACTGATCTCGACCAATACTGGTCATGAGGAATGTATCGAGCGGCTTCGGTATGTATACACAGACAACAGCAAAAACAAACGAAAGCACGGATTTTTACCGACATTATGATACTTTTTTCATCGCAAAAGCTGTGAATAGATTACACAGAGAATAGTGGGATCTGGGACCAGATGTCACGGTAGTATGAACACTCAGTGACAGACACTTCACTGGTTCTCGATTGTACGGTTTCTCTTGAGTAGGATTTTACCACCGAATTGCGCTATGATTCACGTATGAGATAAAGTCCAGATAGTCAATCGATTCCNCACGGTAGACGCTAATATATATATATATATATATACATATATATAAAGTTAAATATGACCTGAAAGATAAATACAAAAGTAGAAAACGGGAGAAAATACGTCTACAGGACCCTACAGGATTCCGGGATTATGCTAACTATCAAGAATGAGTGCACTTCTTGACTAAATTCCAGTTGGTATCCACCTGTGCCCTGTTCATTCCGACAATTCAGTACAAGTCAATGGCTGCAGAACGAAGTGTTGGTGTCTGTTCTTCGTGTGCGTCTGTGTAGTGTGCCTTGTTTGAAAGATAAATTGAACGGTTATCGTGGTGGTGGCAGTGAATTCGCTGTTCAAATGGCATTCCTGAACGAATCAGAAAATCTACAACCACCAACCAGTCAGAGGAACCACGAAGGTAGCTTGCTTCAACCTAACACAGACCACCAATAGTCCCTGTCAAGGACATCTTCTTTCACAAAAAACGATACCGTCTTGTGTGGAAAACTCGTACCCGTACCGCTATCAACTAGCACTGGCTGGAATCCATTCAAAACTACCACTCTCACTGGCCGGTACCCGTGCATACGAAACCTAATCAGAATTGACGTCACTATCGGGCTCAGTATGGGAGAATGAATAGATTCCATTTGAATGTTTTGAGTCGGTCATCTTCCGAACCGCAAAAAGACAACAAATTCTTTTGTGAAGATCTGGAAGGAATTACTTTATTCATTGGCATTATGCTCCACCACCTATCAGCTGCACGTAAACAATACACATCCGATAATCAGGATAGTTATCAACCTGGTCGAGATCGACCCCATTTTCATCCTGCTACAAATCATTGAGTAAAGATATTCCTTTCGTAAATCAACTATTTCGATCTAAATCGGCATTCGACTCAGTTGACTACTCTATATACCTAAATATTAAAATCTTTATATTTACAGTTGAAGTCGATTGCGAGCCTACAGAACATTTCCTTGGTGATCCCAGCCTGTGAGGTGACGCATACCCCGAAGCGATACGTTACACGTTCAGGACAGCTGCGGTCAATCAAACTTCACGGGTGACGTCAGCAAAGCGCGTGCGTGCTCT